GCCGCCATGTCCCGCACGTGGTCTATCACATTCATCCTGCCCCGCAAAGCCGCGGGCAGCGGCGACAGCGGCGGCAAAAGCCCGCAGAGCCTCCTCAGGGAAGACTCCAAAATGGCGGCCTCGCTGGGGTCCATCGGTCCACACGCAGCTCCGCCCCCCGGAAAAGAGGCGTCTTCCGCAATGCCTGAGTCAAAACCCAGTCCTTCGAGGCGCCCGCGATTCCGGTGACGCCTGAGTTGCATGGTTTTTAGAAGCCGACCCTACTCGTCCAACTTCACCGCGGGCTTAGTGGGCTAGGGAAAACGAGCCCTCGGAAATTTTTGTTCCATTGAGTTGAGTCTGAGGGGGAGGGGGCCTCGAAGAAATTAGTACGAGTCACATACATGTATTATTAATTTAATTTTTCAAGCCACATAAAACAAATAAGGTGGAACGCCGAAAAGGCTCAATGGTTGAGATTATTTTAATCAGGCGCCAGGGGCGGTCCTAACTTCTGGTCCTGGAGCGCAGGCGCCACGCCCCCTCCTGCCAGTGGTTTGTGCCCTGCTGGAATCAGAGTGCTTTCCCGACGGGTGAGTCCGGCGCAGAGGAAGAGATTTTATCCTGGGAAATAATTTACCATGTGGAGCGCAAAATAACCAGCTTTGGTCCAACAGTGGACACGACCATTTGACACCAGTTATTGCATTGGATGGATTGCTCACAAACCTTCAGGGTGGAGTGGTCGTTAGCTTTGTGGAGGTGGAGTAACAGGCTACCTCTGAAATTATGTGCCAGATGCTTAAATGGTCGGCGTGGGGTCAGACCTGATTTCAAATCCCCTTGACTAGAGTGGCGAAATAAGAGAGATCGCATATTCAAAGGCATGCGAGGGTCCGGGCCTTAAAGGAAAGAGGTACACACACACGTAGCCTGTAGCTTTTTTCTCTCTGAATTTATTGTGAAATAGATCGTCTGTGAATCCCTGCAGATTTCTCTTTGTGTTTAAGACTTCTTGTAACAACTTGCATCGAAGGTGCTT